TCGTGGGGCCTGAACTCTGGGCCTGGGCGCTGTCCCTCAGCTCTTCAGCTCAAGGCTAGCGCTCTACCACTTGAACCACAGCGCCACTTCGAGCCTTTTTTTTTCCTCCTTATGTGGTGCTGAGGAATTGAACCCAGGGCTGCATGCATGCAAGGCAAGCACTCTACCACTGAGCCACCTTCTCAGCCCCCAAAACCCCATTCTTTTAGATTAGAAACTTAGTAGACAGTGGTTACTGTGCCCAGAATGCCACATTCCACATTCATTCATTCATCAGGCATTTATGGAGTCCCTTCCTACCAAACATGCTTCATTAGGTAATCAGTAATAGGAAAAATATTCTCAATGTGGGCATCCACCTGCTGAAACAGGATGTAGAATCATTTCTACTTTACTGAGGAAGTCAGGCTGTTAAGGAAAAACTGCCCAAGATCTGGAAACTAGAAAATGAGAGCAGAACATACGATCTTGGCTCCGCATCTGTACAGTTAGTTGTTATAGCCACAGCCTTTGCCACCCACATCTTAAGAGGCCCAAACCTTTCCCAGTGTTTGTGCACACACTTACTTGGAGTAGTAGCTGCAATTTTTTTACTATTTGCAAGTTTGGAAAATCCATCTGTATAGAGAGGCTTTCTTTCTGAAGGTTCCTTCAAATCTTCCTTACCTAAATCCAAAGACACAAAACCAATCAAAGACAGGTTTCCAGTAAGCTCTAATGCTAGAATAATCAAGATGACTTTTTTAAAAAAATGTTGCTGGTACTGGAGGTTTCAACTTGGTTTCTTGATTTTCTACAGTTTATGCTCAAGGCTGGCACTCTACCACTTGAGCCATATCTCTACTTTTCTTGGTTATTTGGAAATAACAATCTGTGGATTTGTCTCCAAACCTCAATCCTCAGATCTCAGTAGTCTGACTAGATAGGATTACAGGCATGAGCCTGGGGCTTGAACTCAGGGCCTGGGCACTGTCCCTGAGCTTCTATTTTTTTTGGGGGTCCGGTGGTGGGGCCTGAACTATGGGCCTGGGTACTGTCCCTCAGCTCTTCAGCTTAAGGTTAGTGCTCTACCACTTGAGCCATAGCGCCACTTCTGGCTTTATTCTTTTTTTTGGGGGGGGGGTCCGGTCGTGGGGCCTGAACTCTGGGCCTGGGCGCTGTCCCTCAGCTCTTCAGCTCAAGGCAAGCGCTCTACCACTCGAGCCACAGCGCCACTTCCGGCTTTTTTCTTTTTGCTTATGTGGTGCTGCGGAATCGAACCTAGGGCCTCATGCATGTAAGGCAAGTACTCTACCACTGAGCCACCTTCCCAGCCCCCGGCTTTATTCTTTTTGCTTATGTGGTGCTGAGGAATCGAATCCAGGGCCTCAGGCATGCAAGGCAAGCACTCTACCACTGAGCCACCTTCCCAGCCCAGTCCCTGGGCTTCTTTTGCCCAAAACCAATACTCTACCCCTTGAGCGACAGAACTATATCTGGTTTTTTCTGTTTATGTGGTTCTGAGGAATTGAACCCAGGGCTTCATGTATGATGGGCAAGCACTCCACTATGAAGCCATATTCCTAGCTCCTAAAACTATATTTTAAAAACATACATTTTGGGCTGGAAAGGGGGCTGAGGGGTAGAGTTCTTGCTTTGAATGCATGAGGCCCTGGATTCAATTCCTCAGCACCACATAAGCAGAAAAAGCCAGAAGTGGTGCTGTGGCTCAAGTGCTAGATCGCTAGCCTTGAGCTGAAGAGCAGAAGGGACAGCGCCCAGGCCCAGAGTTCAGGCCCTATGACCAGCAAAAAAAAAAAAAATTTCAGCTAGTTACTGGTGGCTCATGCCTGTAATCCTAGCTACTCAGGAGGCTGAGATCTGAGGATCACGGTTCAAAGCCAGCCCAGGCAGGAAAGTCCGTTGAGACTCTTATCTCCAATTAAACACAGAAAACTGTTAGTGGCGCAGGGGCTCAAGTGGTAGACCATTCGGCTTGAGCTGAAGAGCTCAGGGTTAGTGCCCAGGCCCAGAGTTCAAGCCCTACAACAACAACAAAACAAAAAACCAAAAACGGAAAAAAAAAACAAACACATTTTCTATCTCTAAATAAAATTTCTCTAATTACTTAAAAAGTTTCAGGGTGGACTGAGAAACCACACTAATGAGATCAGGTGAGGATGTGCACGCCTGTTATCCTAGCTATCCAGGAGCAGGTCAGTAGTTCAAGGCCATGCCTAGGCAAAAAGTTAGCCAGCCCTCATCGTAACCAGTAAGCCTGGTGTGGTGGCACGTGCCTGTCACTCCAGCTATTCAGGAGGAGTGCATAGGAAGATTATGGTCAGGCCAGCCAAGGAAACACACCAGACCCTATTAAAAACATAGTCACTAAAGGACAAAAGGATTCGAGGAATGACAAAGAAAAACAGAGGGAAAGGGGGAGGGAAACCATGCTAATAAACTTTCCACACTGTCTACACTTGTATGAGAAAATGCTTGTTGTTTCAGAAACATACATTAGGTGTCCAGGGGCCTGTGTACTGTATGGTGGAGGAAGCAAATAAGACTTTTACCAGACTTATGGCTGGCTGAGGACTCTCCTGTTCCCGAGGGATTACCTTCCCTAAACTACCAGTCTTATTCTACTTTCTATAAGAGTCAGGGCTTGTAATATAGTTCTGGGATAGAGTTTGATATTCTGCATTTGATCCTTAATACTTGCGGGGGAGGGGGGAGAAATTAAAAGATGACCCGAGGGTCTTCGGCATTTGGTGCTAGCTTTGAATTACAAGTTCTATAAGCTGGTGTTTTGAGCTGAATTATGATTTCCAGAGATAGGTCCAAGTCCTAACAGCTGGTACCTGTAATATAACATTGAGAAACCGCCTCTTTACAGACAGATGAAAGGTAAATTGAGGCACTTTGGGTAGATTTAGATCCAGTAGGACCGGCATCCTTCTAAAACGAGACAGAGGCAACAGTATGACGGGGAGGAGCAGGGACATATGGCCGCAGGCCGCAGGCGTAGCGGCATCAAGAGCCTCACAAAGGAGGAAGAGGCAGGGAGGACATGGGTGTCAGGAGAGCATGGTCTGAACTCTCAGGAGGATGAGAACATGAAGTCCATACCTTTCATTTCACTTTGGCCTACAGAAACCATATTCCCATCTCCTTGGCTCTGGTCTGGCAGAGAAGAAACTTCTGCAGTAGTTTTGGGATCCTGCTTTTCCTCATTCTGGAATGTAGTAGGATCACTTATTTGTATCTTGGAATGATCCTGCTGAAAATTTTAAAAGGAAACAAAGATTATGAATGTCTCTTACAGCTGGGCGCAGTGGCATATACATGTAACCAGTCACATTTGCTTGGGAGGGGAGGATTGGCTCAGGCAAGGCCATCAACAGCGTGGTGGTGAGAAGCCGGCCAT